TCTGATTCTGATTCTGACTCTGATTCTGACTCTGATTCTGACTCTGATTCTGACTCTGGCTCTGACTCTGACTCTGACTGTGAATCCGACTCTGACTTTAACTCTAACTCTGACCCTGACTTTGATTGTGAATGTGATTCTGATTACAGATATATATTCTATTGATTCTTCTTCTACTACTTGACTGTTTGCATTTGTATTTGTGTGAGCCTGAGCGATTGTCTAGAGCTACGTTGGTTTGTGTCTTGGCTACACGACTCCCATTTGTAATATCCTCTCAAGGACAGTAGGTAATAGAGAGAAACAGAGAGATAGAGAGAAACAGAGAGATAGAGAGAGAGAGAGAGAGAGAGAGAGACACAGATAGCTACTGCTAAGCACAGCTACACAGACTATTGCTTAGCGAGAGCGAGATGGCTATTGAGGTCACATGTACAAGCACAATGAGAAGGTGTCGGGGCATTGAAATTCCGGTATCGTGCACATTGTAAAGGACAGCGCACAGGGAATTCATTTTTGAGCGCAGTTGTAAAAATATCAAATTAAAAGTTGCCACAACTCCAACATAAATGTTTTTATTTCTGTTTTCATGTGACTCCCTTTACGCTCTGTTGCTCCTTCGAGACTCCTCGAGCACTTACCACCATTTGATAAATTGCATCGACAATATTGTACATTTCCTCTCGCGTGATGTAGCCATCGTTGTCGACGTCATAGAGACGGAAGGCCCCTATTAAATGAACCGATTCATATGTTGAATAATTATTTAGCTCTAGCCGTAACACCGGCCCCACTTACAGTGCAGTTTCTCATCCAGATTTCCTCGCGATGTTATGGACAACGCACGTATGAATTCCTCAAATTCAATAGCTCCATCCTGATAACATTTTAATTGATTAATTCATTCAATTAATTCACACACATGTGATTTACTTACATTGTTCTCATCGAATACTCGAAATACCAACGAGGCAAATTTACTGGGATCACCGTCTGGGAAAAATTGCTTGTAAATTTTGATGAATCCCTGATGCGCAGATAACGTTCACAATAGAGAACAAGAACATTTTGATGAAAATAAGTCAAAATATATTGGCGATATATATTTAAATGTTTGTTAGTATATTTAGTACATTTTAGTAAAGACTACAAACGACACGAGTCTAGAGCAATTCCTATCGCCTTATTTTGTAACCATTTGAAGTAATCTCTGTACAGATTTTAATAAACATCAAGCAATTCATATTGAATACCAATCGAATTTTTTCGATTCGATTTTCGTCTGTCGATAAGTTTGACTAATCGATTGAAAATTAAGTTTTGAACAGATCTTGAATATAGAGTATGTAGGAGTAGATATGTACATTAGAGTATAAAAGTATAAGCCGATTCGTAGCCAAGACATATATAAGATATTATGCAAACAGATAAATATTTTATAAAATTAGTTTAATTTTATAGTTTAGTCAGCTTACACAACGGTAAAAAAATTAATTTTAGTGACTAGAATAGTTCGTAGAAGTTAAGCAAGAGCTAGAATTGAGTTGAACGTATTTACATTATTTAAAAAAAAAATTTTTTTCGCAGTGGCCAACAATTAGATTTAAACTCATGCTCGTTATGTCTGATCGGAATGGATTACCAATCGCATTAGCCAAAAGCAACCTGACTGAGCCAGCCTTAATAGAGTTATATTTCTATGAAGTAAAAATACAGTTTTAGCGCTCCACTAAATTTAATATCAAATAAGACCAAACTCATATGCCATAAAAATAGCCATTTTATTTATTACGATTTTATTTTATTCTATTTTTCAAAAGGCTCTGGTAATACATCATTGCATGAGTTGCATGAAAACCGCAAATGCCTTTGTGAGTATGCTGTGAATAAATTATATATCCACAGAAATGTGTATAGGGCAAAGTTCTATTGCACAACTAGCAGATACCGCTTAATTGACTTTTTATAGCAAATGTTCCTTTCGCCGCTTAGCTACGGAGGTCTAAACATTAAATTTCATAGTCGATATTTATCGATCAAGGGAAATGAAATAGTATATCAGTGAGTTGATGAGTTTGGTATATGGAGTCTCAATATCGTAATCGAAGCCTATTGATCCATGATACATCCATTTAAGATATTAGTAATCTGCTAGTTCGCTATATATGGTCCCTCATATTTCGATACTTATCGATTTATTGCAATGAAAGTGCACATAGTAAAAACAAAAAACAATGATTAGCAACTCTTTTTACATCAAAGTTTATAGTCGATATCTAGCGATCCACGGAAATAAAATCCCACTGAGATAATACCCGAACTACGTTAATCGATACGATACGATTAATTAATTTTTTTTTAATATGCTCTTCAATTGCTCATCCTACCCAGGATCAACACAATCATATTTGGTGTGTCTAGCTCTTATAGTTGGCTTAAGTAAATTTAATTCTCTCACTCACATTACGCTAAATCTCGAGTGTTTGCCTTAGCCAGACGCTGACTAAGAAATATTTGTTTACTCGACTATCTTCTGGGTTTGATGCTTCGCATAATGCCCCTTTGTCAAGCATTCAATACTTATAGTGGGAGTGGGACCTGCGCCCTGGCAGCAACCACATTTTGCATATCACGAAAACAAGCAAGTAAAAAAACTCTAGTCGAGACTATTCGACTACGGGATGCCTTCGCTTCGCTTCCTTTGTTCATATAATCGATAATAATCGATAACATTAAAACTACAATATTTATCTCTGCTTTGAAGCAACCTTGATATACGCCTGCCTTACAGAAACCTACAAAAATGTGTTCTTCCTAAGATTATACAAGTGGACAGATGGAGAGACAGACAGACAGAGAGATGGAGAGTTCTAAACGGACTTAAATCATCAACCTGATGAAGACACTTTATACTCTTTCTGGGCTCTGCCACGCCTCCATCTGGCTGTTACATACATTTTAACAAAACCGTTATGCCCCGATTTTCCATTTTGAATGGGCTCAGTATGGAAAACATGGAAAAGTTTCATTGGCAGCCGCAAACAGGCCGCAAAAGGCCACAGAGCTGCGGCACCAATAATCGCGTTGGCATTGAGCGAGGCACAAGGCCAAACAAACATAAAAATTCGAGTATGGCCATAGCAAATTTAGCATGAAAATAAAAAATAAAAAAAAATACTAGAAAATAAAAAGTAGGAATTTCCAAGTAGTTTTTCCTCTTGTTTAAAATTGTGAATTATCGAATCAAAAGAGGCTGCGAGGAAAAAAAAAAGCAGACTGCAGTTGACCATGGCTATTGCTTGGTTAATGGGTTAAAATTAATAAATAAAATGATGTAAACGTAGAGGCGATGGGCTCGCGCCCTTTACTTACTTGTTCAGTCAGCAGACCGTTCGGGCAGTCTTTGAGAAAACCTTTGTGCCTTCAAAGTGACATAGATTTTGTTTGGTTTTTGGTTTTTGGTTTTTGGTTTTTAATTTTGTTTTGTTTTGTTTTTGGGATAGCACAGTTTAGAGTTCAGTGAGATACAGGTAAAACAAAACAAGTCCAGAGCAAAATGCAAGAGTTGAAGTAGAGACAGAGAGCGAGAGAGAGAGCGATAGAGAGAGGGAGAGAGGTAGACGATTTAAGATTAACAAACAGTCCAACATCAGTTGATCAAACACAAAAAAAAGAAGACAAAACAATAAATTAAATAAATAAAAAGTATTCAACATAAGTAAAAATTCTTATATAAATATCCGAGTATATATGTACATATATTCATGTATATATCTTGATAGAACAGAAAACGGAATTGAGAGAAATTTATACATGGAAAATTCGTTGAATGTAAATATTTAATAATCGAATGTCAACAATTTTGTGTGCATTATTTAATGCTAATTGTGTTTGTGATATTTACATAATGTGACGCATTCGCATTTGCATTCGCAATCGAATCGCCACTCATTTATTGCACAAATATTTCGAATATCGAATTTCGATGCGAATGCACACACACACACACACACACTTAGAGATATATAGAGAGAGACAAATGAACATGATTGCATTTTATTGAAATTTTCAAATAAAAATGAAAAACAAATTATTGTAAATGGAATGAACTCATGTGTGTGTAATACATACATACGCATTAAGAGGCGCTACGATTTGTGGCATTTGGCAAATTGCGAGTCGCAAATTGCTTTCTAATTGGAACACCTAAATTCTTACCATTGACGTATTTCCTTTTCGGTAACTGCAAAGAGATGGGGGAGAAAGAAAGAGAGAGAGAGAAATATTTATTAGATATTTGAAATGGAAGCAAGTGAGAGTGCTCTAGTCGGCTGTGCACGACTAGCAGATACCCTGAACTCTGCTCATAGCATACGACACTTTGAATACATTCGAATTGAATTGAGTTGAGTGAGTGAGCGGCACACAATGAGTTGAGTGAGCTTGAGTATGAGCACGCATTCGATCTCATACCATTCGTCATTCACTTAAATGAGAAGAAGTATAGCACAAAACGTAATGCAAATTTGAGTAAAGTCGGAAGTATTCGAATCACTCAAGTTTTGCCCATGCTTTGTCTTCGTATTTCTYAGCGCATGTTCAACACTGCGCATTATGTTGTTTTTATTTTTTATTTATATATTTATTTATTTTTTTCTTATTGCTGTTGTTTTTATCCTCGCTTACCCACATTCCCATTCATGCAATTCGCTTTTTTGTCGCTACGTGAGCGCACTCATTTACTCAGAGTTTTTCGGCTTCTCATTCAACGTTCTCACTAAACGCATTTTATGCATTGTTAAATCGAGGGTTTTTTTTGCCATTCATTTATGTATTTACTCTGCCAGGCGAAATGCTCATGCACGTGGCTGTGTCTGTATATACACACACACACACACGCACACATAAGCAGATATTCTGCTTACTGCGCAGTTAACGCAGCTTATGGGCTTTACTGCGGGAAATTAATTGTTCCACAACTTGAATAACAAGTGCGAGATAATGTCATTCAGAATGCGTGTTTTTGGCAAGTAAATACATTATAGTAATTCCTGATTTGTGAATACATTCGTAATCTATGTATTCATTGCAGCAGCCCGCATAGCACATTTAAAACTATCCATCTTTTGTGGTAATCCATTGAGGCTTACAGCAGTAAATAAAACTATTATATTGCTTATATTATATTAAATATTGTATATTTTTATATTTATTACTGTAAACCTGAAGCGGTTAATGAAATCAGGCTATGATCAATATACGAAATTAAGTTATCGATAAAAATAAAATCGCTATCGAAAGAAAACTGAAGTATACAGGAATATATACATAGGTACATGTAGCTTTTGAGAGACGGTCGAACGCGGGTAGATCAACTTAACTTGTTCACTCTCATTAAGAAGTTATGAATATATAGCATACTTTATGGGGCCAGCCAAGCGTATTTTCTTGTTCCTGTTTTCCTGTTATGAAAGAATACTTAATTTAAACAGTGGAGTCGACTGCATGATTCTCGCATTAAACTGTTGACACTCAAGGATAATTCGTAATATTTAAAGCAATAAAAACATCATTTACAAGTCTTGAGAGCTGTAGCTTGTCAAGACAAGACAAGATCAGAAAACGGAGTTCAAAATAAACGAGCCCTGTTCAGTTAGCAGACTCAAGCTCATATATTGCGACTGATTTGTTTTCAGCGACTATAGCAAGATGACAGCACATAAAAAGAGAGTGACGATAGCAGGTCTTTCATTATCAACATCTCTATACAGAATTAGACAGGCATACATACAAATATGTCGGGACACAGAGAGCATACTTTACAAATAACTGTTGCCCGTTACTCGATGTCTGCCAATCAGTGTATTTCACTCCTACGTTGAGAAGAGAGCAGCCGATGCAATCGATCGCTCCCTCGTTCCCGATCGGCTCGTAACCTTTTCGCTCTGGCTGTTCTTCAACCGTTTCGTTGAGTTAAATGAAACGACTGTCTCTTTTGTGTGTATTAGTTGTATGCCAGCTCTTTAAACATATCAATTAAGTGTGTGCTTGTGTATGTGATTTATTTAGCTAATTTACTCAGTTAGTGAGTATCATTGTGCGAGCGTCAATCGTAGCGCAACCGTTTGCATCGGCTCCTTAACGAGCTCGTTTTTGATCGGCTCGTAAACGTTTTGTGTCACTCTGGATATTCTCTCACCGTTTCGTTGAGTGAAATGAAACGGGCTATCTTTTGTATATGTATTGGTATGTATGCCTGTGTTGTGCTCGCTATGCATATCAGTTGCATGCCTGAATTGAGTGTGTGCTTGTGTATGTGACTTTTTGAGCTATTTTACTCAATTTGTGAGTCTCATTATACGAGCGTTCGTTAAACGAGCCAACTAAAGGCGCTCAATCKAATACCAAAACGAAAAGAACCGAAGACTCTTGCTGAGTAAGAGGGAGAGATGATCTTTTATATATCATAGATATATAAATACACAAATTACATAATAGTCTTTCATAGTCTTTCCACTAATATATCAGGCATGCATGACGTTTAATCTTATAATTTAAATATTTTAATGCGACGCTGATTATAATAATGAAAGGATAGTAATTCCTTATCATAGACAGGACTTATCATTATATCTATGCAGGGTATTTACCAGCACATATTCCACATAAGTATTTCAAGCATCCGCATTTGCTGTTTTCAGAACCAACAAACCTGGCAATCAAAAGCAGTGCAGATAGCATTTTAAGTAAGTGAATTAGTGAAACAGTTGAACATCTAATTTGGAATTTACGACTGGGATTGAATCGAATTAGCAATCATCGGTGAGTTGTTCCAGCGAGCAGAGCTGTGTGATTCACCGAAGCACTGTATATATTTAATATAGCATATACCACGAATAATAATAATAGTAATTATGATAATAATAATAGTAATAATGCCAGCAATATTAATACTAATGCTGATAATAATCGCCATCATTCACAAGCTTAGCTTCCGCCCATTTACTCTGGAGTCGAGCATCCTCAATTGAGCCGAGACTCGGGCCTTGGCCTAAGCTGCTTACCTCTGGCCTTATCGGCCGCCAGATGGCCAAGCTGATGAACTCGTAAACAATTTGGCTCAGCCGCTGAGTTATGCCGTCTTTGGCCAAGTTTGGTCGGCTTACGGACCTCAAATATTGATGGGATGCCATTGGCTGGGCTTAGAGCAGCAGACCCCACCAAGGAGCTGGCCAATCGACGAGGTAGCCCACCGGAACTTTACTAACTGCCTGTCTATGTCTATGCTTGTGTGTGTGTGTTTGTGTGTGTGTGTGTAAAGTTGCATAAAGTTCATATCATTTAATAAATCATTTAATTTATTACCTGGCAGCTCAGGCAGCACGAGCAGCGCAGTCAAAGACAGACACACATACATATGCAGCTACACCCATGCACATATTAACTATTAAAGCTATGTGCTCGCTATACATATACATATATCGATATGTGTGTGTGTGTGTGCGTGTGTGTGTTAGCTTATCGTCATATAACATACTTAGAGGCGCGTGTGGTGCATGCACGTCTGCACTTAGGAGCCAGCGCGAGGCCCAGAGTCGTGTGCCACTTTACAAATGAAAAAACATTGAAAAACACGAGTCAAGTTAGCTGAGTTGAATATAACAACCTTTGAATACCCTTACGCCCTTACCCTTACGAAGAAGCTAGGCTAAGCGATGCTATATTAATGGTTTTTGAAGTGAAGAAACAATTTCAGAGAGAAGAAAATATTTGTTTATCTTATTTAATAAGCAGATGGCTTACGACACTTAAGATTAATATCAAGATTAAGAGTAAGTGTGTACAAGAAGAAGACTTAGACGCCATCACCTGGATTGTGGCTTGACCTAAAGAACTTCAATGTATTCACGACTCCATAAACTTTATATGTAATTACCACGCACTAAAATATATATATATTTTTTTTAATTTTATAGCT